TGTAAGAGTGATGCTCATCGACAAGTGTACCAATCGCACAAGTAATACAGTGATAAGAAAAGACGACAAGGATTGAGATCGAATATCAAATAATTATCCTTTTAAGATTGGAGGAATCCAAATAAGTGTGTGGGAAATATTGTTGATTTGATTAAAAATAAGAAATAAAAGCAAGAACATATTTTTGGAATTTTTGTGATGAATAATAAAAATAAAAATAAGGATTGATTTGTAAAAGTATGAGAAAGCATTGTAGCTAGAGTGCACTCACCAAATGATTCTCGCTTCTTACTTTGGATTGATTTACAATACTCATTTATATAATTACTCAGATAAATTATTATCTAAAAATATTTAGTAGTTAACCCTCAATTCCATGCAAGATTAACCCTTTAACCCCAATTCCTTGCAATGTTCCTCATGACATTAAGCAATGAACCCAATAATTTAAGCATCTACAATCAAATATACATCTATTCCTAGCATGCATATAAATTGTTATCCTACCCCCTTTCAAGATCAAAACCCCAATATTCCTATCTAGGGTTCTAACCCTCAAACTATCATCAACTATTAGATTGATCAGTTCTAACAACGAAGACAGAAATTACGTACAGCGTAGAGATAAAGATAATTATATAAACGAATAATTATAAACCAATCCGTTGTAACAAGGGTTCACATAGGGTTCGTGACCCTAACTACAGTAAAAAAAAACTAGCCAACCATTATCATGACAGACCTAGCAATATTCAACATAAACTGAAAATTGGATAATTGAAAGAACAAGATGAACAGAATCTGCACAGGACTCTCTCTCTCTCTCTGAGCACGACGGCTATTTCTCCAAAAATTCCCCTATTCATTTTGTGTAAAACATCCTATTTATAAGCCATCTTTTCTTCCAAGTTTGCCCTCGTCAAAACCCGTTACTGCAAAAATCGCAAACTGGCGCGAGTCCGTGCCACTGTGGCGCTGGACCGCGCCAACTCTCTGCCCGTGATACTGTGCCATTTTCTTCAACTGGCGCGGATTCGCGCCACTGTGGCGCTGGACCGCACCAACTCTCTAGATATTGGCCTTGAATGGTGGTGCCAACTTGCGCCAGTGTGGCGCTAAGTTGTGCCACTTCTCTGGAGTTTGGCCAGCAAATTTGATTTAGCATGAAACTTCCACCGTTGTGGATTTGCGCCACCAAGCTTTTTACACTTTCATATTTTCTACTTCTTCTACCTATATAAACACAACCAATAGGTGAGAAATATCATTGATATGGAAAAGTCAATATAGTAAGCAAATATGTATATAAACTGCTTTTTTATGACTTAATTCTCATCATTTTCAGCTTGGAAAACTACAATCTGCCAGAGGCACATCAAATCATTCTCAGATTTAAACGTTGCTGTCCCTAGCAATCTACAAGACTCAATCCAGGAAACCATCAATTCTTCTAGCATAACAATACATAGACATTCTCAGACACAATATACTGTGCATGACTAACCCAATATCATAAATTTCCAACAATGTCATCAGCTTTCTAAAAATATAAGTCTACACTGATTACCCCTCACACAGATAAATAATGTCCACTCAACACTCAGTGTTTAAGGGTATCATGAGCACTCAATCAATAACAGCTATAACACTACCATAGGCTTGATCATATTCTCAAAAATTCTTAAAAATGAAGAATCAAACACATGCACCAATTGATCAAAAGGACTTCACAGGTTGTAACTTAGCCAAGTTAAAGGGTAGGAATATATGGATAATAGTTCAAACAATAATGAGATTGAAAAACTGATACTTTTTCACTTTAGCACATTCAACTCAATGATTTTGCTCCACTAACATTCCCACAGAATTTCGAGAATTAATTCTTGTCAGCCACCTTTTATGCACATTCACCCTTTTTCTCTTTCTTTTTTTTCTTTTTTTTTATAAGGGTACAGATGACATCTACATCCCCTACTTACTTGACCTTTGTGGAGCTTACCTCAATTTCTTTGTTTTATTTTCAACACATCAGTAATTCAATCTCAATCAAGGTAAGTCACATGGATATAGGTTAAACCATCAATCCGGCCACAGGTCATTTATCAACAAATTAAGTTCAGGCTCAAGGGGCTAGCAATGAAAAAATTTCATACAAGTGGGCTATTTTGGCCATAAGCTAACGAGAATAAAATGCATTTATCCTCTCAACTAATGCATGCATTACAGAGAAACAAATTAAGTTCTAGAGTGTTACAACAATGAGGTCTCTCAACAAGAAAATTCAGTGTTTAAGCTCAAACCTCACAGCTATGGTATCAATATAGACTCAAGAAAATTGACTTCAGACATTATCAGAATTTCACAACATTTGATATCAATATAATCATCAAATAATTAAAAAATATAATTACAATAAATGTTAATACTAAATTATATCCATCACGAATAATTGATATCATTCTACTCATTTTAATTTTAATTGATACTAATGTTTATTAATTGATATCAATATAATCATCAAATAGTTAAAAAATATAATTTGAATTCTATAAATTTTTGCTCTACCAACCCACTTAATTAAGAAACTTTTTGGATTGAGATTAAAAAATTTCCTCGTATTAGGAGTTTTAAGGGACGTTTGGTAAATGAATTTTTTTTATCAGAGAAATACAATTACTAGGAATATAGTGGGAAAATGAGTTTTGTAGGAAAGTTAAAAAAAATAAATTGTTTGATAGGCCAAAATATTACCTGAAAAATTAGATTAAGTTTACTGAGTTTATGTTTGATTCGAAAGTAAAATATTGATGGAAAAACATGTTGAAAATACAAAAATAGTAGGGGAACAGTGACCAAAATGCCACTGTTCACTGACTTTTTTTTTTCTAAATACCACGCAAACAATATTATTTCCCAATATATCACGCGGGCAAGTTCGCTACAGTGTCCAGCGAACTTGGTTTGCTGATGTGGCACGTTTCTAGTGGACAATAAGTTCGCTACTCCTAGTAGCGAACTACGTTGCAAAAAATGCTGACACATTGAAGAAGTTCTCTGCCACATGCAGCGAACTAGGTTTGCCACGTGTCTGACATGCACCAAATTCGCTGAAGGTCCAAGCGAACTAGGTGCCACATGGCACAATCTTGTTGCCTGATCAGAATTAATGTACGAATCACAATTAAAAAAACGAAGGAAAATGACTATTTAATTAATGTACCAATCTCAATTAAAAAAACGAAGGAAAATGAGCTATTTAATTAATGTACCAATCAAAATTAATCTATCAATCATCAATCACAATTAATATACCAATCATCAATCACAATTAATTTACAAATGAGAATAACTTTTGATTGTACCAATCACAATTAATATACCAATCACCAATCACTTCGGAAGGCGTAACTTTTGATTCAGATATCCAAATCAGATATTTTTTATTTTATTTCATATAACTTTTCGAGATCTACTCAATAACACATCATTTGACATATTTTATCTCTCACAAACATAGTTCGAATTCGTAACAATGGTATCAAACAATTAATGTACCAATCACCAATCACAATTAATGCACCAATCAAAATTAATTATGACTGGTACATTAATTGTGATTCTTGATTGATATATTAATTGTTATCAAAATTAATCGTGATCGGTGATTGATACATTAATTGTGATTGGTTATTGGTACATTAATTGTGATTGGTGATTGATACATTAATTGTGATTAGTACATTAATTACATAGTTATTTTTCTTCGTTTTCTTTTTGTGATTGTGATTGATACATTAATTCTGATCGGGCAACGAGATTGTGCCACATAGGACACGAAGTTCGCTACCCCTGGTAGCGAACTTCGTATGTGCCACGTGTCACGAAATCATTGACTACCAAGTTCGGTACCAGTGGTAACGAACTTCAAGTGTGGCAGTCTGGTAAATTTTACTGTTCGCGTGACATTTAGGTAAAAAAATCAGTGAACAGTGACACATTGATCACTGTTCCAATAGTAGGCAACACAAATCACTTACACGATTATCCCAAAATACCACATTGAGAGTGATATTTTAGAACAGTAACTTTTATCACAATTTCAACACAAATCACAAATACTAGAACACATATTTTATTGGATAATTTTTGTCAAAGTTATATCAAATATGATATTTTCCGATACCCATTCATATATTCCCAACAATTCTAAAAGAAAAGTTGTACCAAACATCCTAATTAATAAAGGGTTTATCATTTATCATTTAACATAATCACAAAAATTTTCCTACACACACAACATTTTGTGGGTCCGCAGCAAAAAAAAAAAAAAAAAAAACTCTGGCACGCAAAACGAATCTCTATAACATAACACAATTACTTTTCCTACAACATAACTCTTATAAAACCCATTAATAAAAGACCAAATGCAATACTTTGAGGAACTCTAGTACTGGTTATCCTGAGAGTCTACATTTTTTAATGCTATGGCCGATGGCTTAATCTTCGATGCTAAGCTAGTTGCGAACCACTACGTCAAGTGGTGTTTTGTCCGCCACATTATTCAATTTCTTATTTTGACAACATCCGTGTGCGAAATTATTGTTTATAAATCATTAACTGTTCATAACTCTTTTAAAATTCCCACTTCATCTTATTTTATTATATTTTGCCATAATTTAAAAAGAAATATTGGGTGGACCAAAAAGAAAGAAATGGAACCCACAAAGGTATATTCTCATCTCAACATTCTGGCAAGTGCTAATGCTCTCAAATTTGAATTCAAATCCAAATTCTTCAAAAACCCGTCTCAGGGCTAAGTTGCTTAGCTTCGCTAATCACCGTTGGAGAAATCTAGAACATTTCCATCCGTACACGCGTCAACCAGATATCATTCCACGTGTCAGTTTGGGTGTAGATATGCAATGCGATGTCTCGCGAAGTTTCTTCTGATTAATAATTAACAGCAAGGGGCTCGTTCAAGTGCGGTTGATTCTATTTATTTATTTATTACTAACTCCGGCGAAGACAATCTCATTCCACGTTCAACGCAGAAAAATAAGATCAAAAAGCCCTAATTATTTTCTTTACATTTTCCTCTCGTTTCCTTCACTTTCTCAAGTCAAGAATATTTCTCGAAGGAAAAAGCTTTTTGAGATCAAGTTCTGAAGATGTGGAATCAGGCGTACACGAAAACTGATGATGTGGAGAGCGGGGGGGCGAGGCCTCTGTATCCGATGATGCTTGAGAGCCCTGAACTGCGGTGGTCCTTCATCCGAAAAGTCTACTCCATCATCTCCATCCAGTTGCTCGTCACCATTGCCGTCGGCGCCTTCGTCGTCACCAATCGCCCCGTCGCTAACTTCTTCGTCAGCACCGGCGCCGGCATGGCTCTCTACATCGTTCTTATTTTCGTTCCTTTTATCAGTGCGTCTCTTGTCCTAATTGCTTCGGATTCTATCACTTATTTCATGTTCGGTTTTTCTCTAACAATTCTTGTGTTTGATTTGCGTGTAATTGCAGCGTTGTGTCCCCTTTACTATTATTACCAGAAGCATCCCGTCAATTACCTCCTCCTAGCCATTTTCACTGTTTCACTTTCTTTTGCCGTTGGATTGAGTTGCGCCTTTACTAGTGGTAAGATTCAAACATCTTCTCTCTCTCTCTCTCTCTCTCTCTCTCTCTCTTGAAATTTTCATTATCTTGATTGTAACTAAGATAATTTGCTCTTGCTTATTGTGTTGGTTATTTGGTTCAAATTTGGGATTAATTAGTCGATGTATTTGTTGGTTCAATATTTTTTAAATGAAATAATTTTAAAGGTGTATGTTGTTTTAATTGTCATACCTGGAAATTGAGTTTGGTCTGCTTGGTCAAATTTTAGATTTTGATGTGTCCTTCCAATTAAGGAGGATGGACATTGGTGTCATTCATCTTTAGATGTTTAGACACGTTCATCATTGTGGGTTGTGACCAAGTACAAATGCTTATGTGCATGGCTCTGTAATGAAGGGATACATTTTCAGTAGTAATGAGGACTCTGTGTAATCATATACTCACCTAAGTGCATTAGTCCATTTTTATTTTTTAATTTTTTTTAATTTTCACTAGGGCAGTGAGTACTGAAAATTCACTTGTACTGAAGAGGTTTTTGTGTGAGGGCTGGGAGGATGTCAAGGTTATTTGTGAACGCTTGTTTTCATGGTTACATTAGTCGTCTAAAATTTGACTCACTGGTTACTTTCTTTCATAGAGAATGAGTTAATGAGATTTGATTATTATCTGATCTGTTAGTTTTTACGTAACTACTGTTTCTGCAATGGGAAATATAACCATTCGTAAAATCGAATTTGAGGTCATGGTTGTCAGTTGTCACGCCTTAGGACTTTTATCCCTTGTATATTTTGGATTGTGCAACTTTATTTGCTTACGTTGCATATTTCAGTGAGAGTTGCCTCCTTTTGTGTGGTTCTGAATTTTTACTAATGACACTGGAGATTGGATGCAGAAAAAGTTATTCTGGAAGCTGTCATATTAACTGCTGTGGTGGTGGTCGGTCTGACTCTCTATACATTTTGGGCCGCAAGTAGAGGCCAAGATTTCAATTTTCTTGGCCCTTTCTTGTTCGGTTCACTGCTAGTTCTTATGGTCTTTGGGTTGATTCAGGTAATATGGTCTTCAAAGATTGTTGCTTCATATTTATTATATCCTTGTAATCGTTTTGGTTGAATTCTTCCTGTGTGTTCCTTTCCTTGCAGGTTTTCTTCCCACTGGGTAAGTTATCTGTGATGATCTATGGGTGCGTGGCATCAATTATATTTTGTGGCTATATTGTATATGATACAGACAACCTAATCAAGAGATACTCGTACGATGAATACATTTGGGCTTCGGTCTCCTTGTATCTGGACATCATCAATCTCTTCCTCTCTTTGCTCAGTATTTTTAGAGCTGCGGAAAGTAATTAGATATATTCCTTTCCTCGGCACGTACTCGACGAGGGTGGGTTTTGAAAAACAAATTCTTACGATCAATAAATCTTTGTAGCTGTCCTTTTGTTGGGTGGTGTCGTAATGTAACACGATGGATTATTGTCCCAGCTGTTGGTAAATAGTCGATTAATGTTGAAATTCTGGATTGAATTGTATATACGTTATGACTGCCCCTTTTTTCTTCTGTGTACTTTATTATGTTATGATCTTTAGACTGTTTCAGAGTTATCTTTATTGATTGGTCCTGATATATTGGTTTACCACTCTGGTATTGCTGGAGGTTGCTCCTCTTATTCAAATCTGAGGAATTTCAGTTCAAAAGCTTATTGATGCATCAGAAGAAATTTTATAATACAATATCATTGTTTTCGTCTGATAATGGGTATACAACATATATTATTGTCATATATCCTTGTGAAGAAATACGAATTCGTTGTGTTAAACCTCGTCAGATATGAAAACCTTGGCAAATCTGTATTCAAAATACACTCGAATTTGCACCTGTTTTTCATCTACCTTTCCTTTCCTATTGGCTCTTGAGCGGAATTGGACTGGGAGCCATCAGAACAGTGGCTTGATTTCTAAGTTGCCAGTACAGAGAGTCTTGCTTTGTTCTGGTTGTTGTCTTCTTAATTGAGGAGGCAGGTCTCTATGATGGTTTTCCTTTGTTGAATTGGCAGTTCCTGTGGGAATTTCTTAGAAGAAAAGAAAGAATATTCTTTACGTGTGAGCCTTCTTTTTTGGTTTTGCGGCCCACCTGTTTGGCATTAGGTTTTGTTTGACGTTCCGTTAAGTGTCAATGAAGGTTGGATTTTATGTTAAGACAAAAAAAAAAAAAAAAAATCACAAAGTGAGGGGAAAAAAAGACCATTTTAAGTTGGATTTATGCATAGAAAGGAACTATGATATTTTTTTTAGGTTATATTTATAAATTTTTTGTTTACAAATTATATTATATACATGTAAGAGTTTGTAAATAATTTTTTTTTAAAAATATAATCTACCCCTTAGATTATAAATTGAATTAGTAATAGTCGCTCCAACATAAGTCTTCGGCTTTTTGACCCTTAATTAATAACTAATTGCTAAATTGCCCTTCATTCAAAACTATTTCGAAAATTTACCCTCCCCAACAAACATAACATCAATCTGCCCCTGTTTGACCGTTGACCACGAAGCCTACCCGGGTACACCATTACCTACCCGGGTAATTTTTGAAACTTTTTATCTACCTGAGTATGTAGGGGTGTACCCGGGTAGAGTTCTTGAATATGGGAAAATGGTTGAATTATTTACCCGGGTATGGAGCAGTGTACCCGGGTAAACATCGACGGTAGGGTTTTAAAATACTCCAGCAGCCCCATTTCGAAAACCCACAAAAGGGGTACCGAGTAGAGCTGCTGGAGGAGTGTCTTCTTGAGCGATTTCAGGCATAATCTTGCACCAATTCGTCTTGTTTCTGATCATCATTCGCGGACCTTGCAACCTCTCTGCCTTCTACCGATTGAAATCGATCAAAGGTGCATTTTTTTTTTTTTTTTCAGTTTTTTCAATTATGTTATGATTTCTGTTCTGATTCATTGTATTTTCGTTTATATCATTTGATTCTGTCCGAATTATTTTATCAATTTGTATGTCATACGCTTACCCTAACCCTAACCCTAACCCTGAATCTAACCCTAACCCTAACCCTAACATGTATCTAATTTCTGATTTTGGTTATTTTTTCAGTTTAATAGTGTGACACAATGACCTCTCGACGCGTTTCAAAGCTGCCAGTGATCCATTCCGAGAGAAGAACCAAGAGTCGTCACGATGGGTCGTTATCCTCTCAGCCCCAGGCTGCTTCGAGTCAGGCTCCGGACTTGACGTTCGGATATTTGTTTGAGGATGACATACCTTCACACGAGAAGTTCGTGAAGTTTTTCATGACCCGGAAGATCTGCGAACCGAAATCACTGGATTCGGCATTCTTCAACCTAGAGCGTTTTGACATTGTGCTGCTTCTTGAGCAGACACATTTACTTCACCTAGCGGAGATGCGGTGCCCATACTCGGAGGTTATGGTAAGAGCCTTCTACCAGAACCTTGGCTACTCGCAAGGCGAGCTGACTTCCTGTGTCTGCGGGATTGATTTCATCATGACTGCTCCTATCTGGACGGAGCTACTGGGGTTCGATTTTGATGGTGTCACAGGAGCAGCACTATATGATGGAGACAGCCATCATATATTTGGTGATTATAACCGGGATACCATTGTTACAGAGACTAGGAGGGCAGACGCTGAGCCCGGTCATTTTGCTCATTATCCTGTTAGCAACTTGTCAGTTTCTGCTCGCATTCTTCATTATGTGGTGACACATATTATTTTCCAGCGCCCGCATAATCACTCAAAGGTGCTGGAAGGGGACTTTGTCATTCTGTGGGCCCTCCTTCACAGTCAGCAGGTGAACTGGAGGCATTACATATGCATACTGATGTGGAAGGCAGCCAAGTCAAAGAAGGCTGAATTGCCTTTTGCATTTCTGGTGTAGAAGATTCTGCATAGATTTGGAGTGCCTATGGCAACAGAGACCTTGAAGACCGCCAGAGGCTGGAATGCTATATTTGGTGAGAGGCTCCTGAAGCAGTGTGGGATCCTACCGAACAGAGCGGGTATCTGGACGTGGAAGAAGGCACCAAAACCACCTGAGATCCCATTCCACCACGATGCTGAGATGGAGGATGCACCTGCAGGTGATGTGTTGGTCTTTATGAGTTTATGCAATTTTGTGTTGTTTATTTTTTAATGTGGTATTTATAAGATGTGTTTTTCATGGTTTATGATGTAGGCCTTGATGATGATGACAATGATGATGGCGTTGCTGAGGTTGATGTCAGACCGACACGTCCCACCCGCAGTCGGCGACCACCAGCTCCTCCTGAGGGTGGATGGACACTTGATCATGTCATGGCATCCATATTTGATTTGACTACTGACTTTAGAGGATATAGACAGAGCACGAGCAAGTGGCGGAACCAGATGGACACAAGGGTTGCACGGTTGGACACAAGGGTTTCACGCTTGGAGGGTTTAATTGGCGAGGGTGCCCATACTCAGGAGGAGGAGGAGGAGGATGATGACAATGGGGATGACACACAATCGGATGAAGAGAATGGGGAGGACACGCCATCGGATTAGTGTGTCCATAGGGTTTCATATCATTGATTTAGTTTGATGTAATGTAGTCATTTTGGTACATTTAGGAACTTTACCTACATTGCATGGATGTTTTTGTACTGGATGTTCAAAATTTGAATGAATGAAATTTTTGTTTTGCGCACGTTCAGACTTGTTGGTTCTATGCATTAGTATGGGACCTTGCATTAATATTGTCATAATTAATTTGGAAATCAATTCAACCCAAAGTACTTTAATATTCATGTTCAACTTTCATTGGCGCACATCTTGATTACTGCATCCTATTTCTACGAAATCAATCCACCCCCAAGTCATACCGTATGTAGGTATTGCACAACAATTACCAAAATGCAAAAAAAATTGCCAAAACAGCATCTGCAACTGGTCTACTGTTTGGTGAATGTGAAGGACAGTATATTGGTCTACTGGTCTACTGTCTGAGCTATAGTTTATGTTGCATATTTGAAGGACAGTATTCTATTGTTTGGTGAATGTGTTAGACGAAACATAGTGCTATATTTAGAGTTGGGGGTTATATTTACAATTTTTTATGACTTTCAATCAAATTTTAACGGTTGATTTTCGTCAATCTATCGGTTATTATTTATTAAAAATTAATAATTAATTAATAAGTGTGACTCAATAAATTATAAATTATAAGATTAATGAAAATTAATAGTTGTAACTAGGGGTGTTAATGGGTCGAGCCGAGCCGAGCTTTGATTTTAAAAGGCTAAGTCTGTTTAAAAGTGTCAGCCTGACCAAGCTTGTTACCTGTTATAAATATAATTATCGGCCTGTGACCTTTCTTATTTACAAAAAATAAAAGTCTGGTTTAGCTTGTTATCCTGTTTAAAAAAAAATAAAACAACAAAAATTTATCCAAACAGAATATACAATCAACAACACTAATAATTTCATAAATATTCATAAATTCAATGTATATCCAACCAACATAATATAGAGCAAAATCATTCAAAAAGTCTGTTTAACCAATAAAATGAGATGAAATTGATTGAGGAGAAAGAGAGGGCTATTATAAGTAATATAAAAAAAAAAAATATATATACTAGGACAGCCTGAGAGGCTCTAAGGCCGAGCTTTTGAATTGGAGTCTTAAACCTTTTTATTAAACGAGCTTTTATACAAGTTCAAGTCTGGTGCCAACAACCAATTTTAGACATGTAAGCCCAGACCTTCACGAGCCGAGCTAAAGGCTCTTGGTTCGTTTAGCACCCCTAGTTGTAATAATAAATTATAAACTATAAGATTAATGAAAATTATTACAATATTTATGTTATGAATTGTTTTATGCCTAATAAAGTTAAGATAATGAATTTACCAAATTTTTTTTTTAAAGATAATGAATAAGTATGAGTTATTAATTTTTTTTTGTGGTATGAATAATATTTTGTAATTTAATTTAGTGATTAATTAAAATTTACAGATTCGTGTTATTGCTCAAGCTACTTTTGCCTAATATTTATAATATTTGAACAATCAAGTAAAGTATAGTATTTTTGTGCCGTTTTATGATTTTTATTATTCTTTTTCTAAAGCAATGTCGATAGACATATTCCGGACAAGCAGAAAAAAAAAAAAATTTAATTGTGTTGTATCTTGGAATTTTCTCTCCACTGGAGCGATACCTCAATGTCATATCTTGTATTTAGAAGACTCAAATCCCCAAAGAAAAAGATAGTGGAAAAAAACTCAAATATTTTTAGCTATGTCCTTCAATATTGTTAAAATCTCAATTTATCACTATGATTTTATATTTTTACGATTTTTTTTTTCATCAAAACGATTTTACTAATATTTCAAACGTTTTTACGTTTTTATGATTTTTTACAATTTTTTTACATTATAATTTTTTGTTTTACGATTTTTTAATCCCTTTTCGATTTTACTTTACTTAACATCTCAATTTTAATAATATTGGTACCCTCTAAAGGACTTGAGGAGTAAATCCTCTGACATGAAAAATTCACGTGACTTGATCAAGAAGATTTCAGCCAGTCATTTTTAAATCAACAATCGGAAATTAAAATTACAGCTTTCACTTAGTTTAAATTATTATTGATTTACGAATAAACATATGAGATCTATATAATCTAAAGTCATACGAAATTTTCACATACACGTCAGATAGAGTAAGTTCATTGTGAAGTCCAATGTTTATGTTAAAATAGATGCAAAATCCTACTAACTTACCAAATACATATATATGAATTAAGTTCAGAGCAGTAGCTAGAGACTCTTTTGGCAATGAGTATGAGATGCACAACTCAAATCCCATTTCTGTTTTGCCTCTGTGCAACGATGGAAAGAAGTCTCGAAACCCCTTGAGTCCATATATCATATTCTCTTTGATTTCTACATTCAAACTCCACAATCCCCCTTGATTCTGTCTTCAATCCAAAATACCTTCTTTTTTCACCATCATCAAACAGATGCCTTCCTGGCCATGCTGGTAAATTTGTGCACACACCTAACACAACATCTGAAAATTCAAGAACATAAGTTATGAGTCATTTCACGGTGACCAAAACATAGTCATAATTAGGGGCGTTAACAACCAAGCCGTGCCAGGTTTTGGTCTAACTGTTATAAAAATAATATCGGTCTGGAGGTTAACTTACTTACAAAAAAATAAAAATCTGGTTTAGCCTATCATTAAAAAAAAATAAGACAACAAAAATTTATCCAAACTAAATATACAATCAACAACATTAATAATTCCTCAAAGATTCATAAATTTAATGTATATCCAAACAACATAATATAAAACAAACTCATTCAAAAAATCTGTTTAACCAATAAAATAGGACGAAATAGGTTGAGGAGAGACATGACTATTATGAATAATATAAAAAATAAAAAATAAAAATAAAAATTAGTATACAAGGTCAGCCAGAGAGACTATGAGGCCGAACTTTTAAAATTGGAGCTAAGGCCTTTTTATTAAATGAATTTTTATATAAGTCTAGACTTGATTCCAATAACGAATTTTAGACATATAAGTTCAAGTTTTCACAAGTCGGGCCAAACACCCCGTCGTTTATTTACCACCCCTAGTTAGTTATAATGGAAGGTTGATAGCTTACTCTTTTTCTTTTTGGTAATGGTTCCTGCAACATGTCTGCTCTTCATTTTTAGCATCACCTGACGTGTTAACAAGCATTGTTATGAAATGACATGTATCCAAATTCCACATGCCATGAATTTTTGAAAAGAAGAATTACCTGGCCTGTTCTATGTATATAAACAGAAACTATTTTCCAGTGAAGATCACCTACAGTTATCACCAAATGGAGTTTAATCTTTTTGCAAATGAGATAAAAGATTCAGAGTCAGCGTTAGTGCATAGTTGAACATGACATTCAAGTTACCTTTACGGGTCCTTTTGAGTAATTCAGTGCCCCTAGCAAGGAGCTCTTGGCTGCAAACACCTAGAAAATTTTCTCCATTGATAATCTCCCCACTATCACTGGTGCTAGAATTACTGTTATTGCCTTTACCACATATCCCAATCCCTATGCCTCTCTCTAATGGTGTCACTGCAGTAATATTCCACACCTCCTTCAATGCTCTTGCTTTCAATGTTGCTGCCCCTCGTAGAGCTGCATATATAAAGACCACATCCTTCAAGTGGCAACATAAGGAGAGAAAATACAAAACAGAACTTGTACTATATCTCTCACGAACCATGTGTACATTGATGTTCCTTTTGATACTGAGGGACTAATCAACAATGAAACTACATATCCTAGTTGATTCTTCACTACTGAAACAACTTAATCAGCCTTTTCTTTATGGTTAAGTCAATAGCATTATGAAGAGATTTTTCACAGTGAATCAACTTTGGTTAAAAATAATAATAAAAACTTTGCAGTATTGTAGGACATTAGTGTCTAATGAATGCACAAAACTCTACCTGTGGCAGCTGCAGCAGTAAGTGTTGTGATATCATCATGAGAATGGACATTGACAGCAGAGCTAACCACAGAAGCAAGATGGTCTCTTTCAGCTCCCATTGCTTCAGCAGCTTCAACACACTGTGCAGCAACTAATGTGGCTGCAGAAGCCACAGCCATGTCTGTCTTGGTCATCTTTTCATCCTTGCTAGGTGCAGATGAAGCTGCTGTTCCAGCTGTGATGGCTGCAACTGCAGCGGCCACCGCAGCTACAGAAACAGCAGCGTGCAATTGAGCATTGTGGGTTCTGTTTTCTTCTTTCTTCTTTTCTCTTCTTTCTTTCAACCATCTTCCAACTGTTTTAGGTCCCGAGGAAGGAGTGGCATTGCCAATAGCACCACTCATGGCTCTTACACCATTGAATAAAGGGTGAATGGAATTGTTTGCTCGGAAAAACTGCAATAAATTGTTGAAGCCTAACATTATTTTGACATTAAAAAATTGTTCCATCTTAAAAAAAAATAAAAATTGCTGACAATGTTCATGGTTGTCACTCATAAGTCACTGGCATGTCCTTTCCTCACTATTCCTGCTTGTGTTCATTTTTTATTAGTTTCAATGTTTCACTTTATCAGTCTTTGCTCTTGATTTCTTTCTAGTAAAAGGCCCAGTTGAACTTTTTCACCCTACCAAGGAAAAATGCCAAAATGAGGAGGTTTGTTTGCGTGAAAATGGGGAGATAAGGTACACTGGACTGTCAAACTCTTTGTACTGTTGTCAAACAATCAGCAAGCAGGCTAGTTGACTGGAAACTTATGCCTCCACAATTAATCAGTAATGTGTGTCATTGCACTTTCGATCAGAGATTTTATATTATGTATTCTAAAAAATATATGATGTATACAAAAATTGTTTTTCTTTTCTTTTTCTAAAACAATAAAAACTAATGTGGCACACTCCCTTTTTGGTCTGTTGTACCTACTAAGAGATTACCTTAAATTTTTCCGTCATTACCCACTTCAAACTCTGAAGGTCCCATCCAAAAGTTACCTTCAAAGTTAAAAATGTTAAATTTTTAAGTGAAAAGTAATAACCCTCTCCAGAGCTCTAGGCTCTAGCACTCCCTTTTTTTCTTGTGTGTGTGAGTGGAGAAATAAAGCAAAGTAATCCTAACTCTCATGGAAAAACCCTTGAACAGTAAGCACCGAGAACCACCAATAGTGTGCAATTTATTTGTGTAGGTATGAACATAGACCTTTCTTCCATGCAGTCATGGGGAACTAAAATGAGCAAAGGGTGGCAGGTGAATCAGATGGGGCCCTCAAGTTTCTCTCTTTTGTAAACTCTTTTACATATTTTATTTTTCTTTTGGTGGCAGGTGAATAATGAAAACCCTCTTAACCCAATATGTTAACTGTCAAGCTTTATTTAAGAGCAGACAAAAGCAGTGTTTTGCAGATTAAAACATAAAAGTGGAATAGTACTAGCTTGTTAGGGTTTTATAAGAATTATCTCGTTGAAAAAGTGATTGTGTAATGTTATAGAGATTCATTTTACATGTTTTAATTTTTTTTTGTTTCAAAAAATGTGGACCCCACGAAATATTATGTGTGTAGAAAACTTTTTGTGTCATGTGACATGATAGATGCAAACTCCAATTTATTATGGAACCAAAACATAGCATCGAAAAGTGAGTTTGCAGGAGGAGGAGAACACGAATAATGTTAAACAATAGTTACAAAAATACTATTGCACTTGTGAGAAACCACTGTTCAATGCAAAAGTACAGTCATTTCATTAACCTTCTCGTTCCTCAGGGTCCCACCCATCACAAAAGAAAAGGGAAAGGAGCAGAGAGATACCTTAACAACATCATCAAACTCATCAGAAGGAGAAATTGGTGGACTATCTGTTCCGGTTAAAGAACCACCACCATTCAAAGGTTGTTCACTGCTGTGAGAAAGTCTACCTGACGTTAATGGAGACACTTCCTGTAACATACATCAAACATGAAATGATTTTATAAAACCAAGATGCATGGACTGATATAAAGATAAACAAAAATTGTGAAAAGAACCAAAAACATAGTATGTAGTTATTTGATGAAAGAAACACAGTCTTTAAGAAGCAACGTGATATGGTAAACAACCTCTCTTGCGGACTGTGACATAATGCGCTCAAGGACAAGCTGTGAAGTAGCAGAAGAAGCAAAAGAGAACTGATTCCCACACATTGTTGAGAATTCTTCAGAGTGACCAGTAGTTTCTTCAGGAATAGAGTTAGTCACACAAGTGGATCCATTACAAGGATTGGAAGCTATGGAAGAAGAAGAAGGTGGAGGTGGTAGTGGTGGTTGAGGTGCCAAGGCTTTAGAGACTTCAAGGGCAGAGGCACTCCATGACCTTGACAGAAACTCCATTGGTACTCTCGGACTTTCTGGCAAATGAGTGCCATTGGTTTGAAGGAACTCAGTTCGGCGACAATTGATTGTGAACTTGGGTTCCATTTCAGGTGTTAACTGTGGTTTTGGAATGTTTATTGCTTAAAGAGATAGCATGGTAACTTGAAGGGGTGTTTATATATAGTGGGATGTTTGAGGAGCAAGGAGTGTTTAAATGCAAATGTCTTGAGTGAGAGCAATGTCTGGTCAGCAAATGATAAAGTTGGTATAAGGGTAGGAAGGAATGGTCAACACCATGTGATGAAGTACTTTGTCGTGAAGCCCACACTGTAAAGAAAGAATGAAAAAAGTACTGTTATCTGCTTTGTGCTAGATATTAGAGATTGAGACATTGGTAGTAAGGGAGAATTTGTGACAGTGTCATTTTAACACAATCTTTGTGGCTTTAGTGTTCCATCGAAATCAAGCAGTGGAAAAAAATAATATATAATATTATTTTTAAAAAGCAGCACTCAACATTTTATTGAGCTATTAGTGAGTGATTCAACTATGATTACCAAGCAAAGCTAGTAAATAATATTCATCATTCGTGCTTTAATTGTATATAATTCACGTGAGCATAGTAGTTATTGAATGCTGCGTAATACCACGTCCCACCAGGGAGCACAAAAATATTGTTTATTGGGCGAGTAGGAACTTAATTATGAAAAAGACAAAAAGATAAGATACATGATTAGGGGCAAGTTTTGGTAATGTAATAATTGCATCATTAAGATATGAAATCTTACTTGGATTATTTTTCAAATCACATGACTTGAGAGAATCACTACCGTGGAATTGACATTTAATCTTATTTGGATCATACAACTCAAAAGCCTTTCAGTATCAACTCATGAAGAGGGTGAATTGAATTATATAAACTTTTTAAATTTTGACTGATAAAACAAATAATAAAGAGAAAATACAAATAATTACGTGGGAAAAATTTCAAAAGAAAATAAAAAAACCATCCCCCCAATCTGGATATATCTATCCAATTGAGAGACAAATGAGTCAAAGTTAATTCAAAGCATTAGAATAGCACCTAATCTACTCTTATACCTATCTCTAAATTTAGGCATCCCAATTATCAAACCCTTGATGATTGCTAAGCACACTTTAAGCTTAATTCAAATCCAAAAGTATAAAACCTCAATTATCACTAGATAATTCATCCTGTGTTACCCACTTAATAGCTAAAACAAGAATAAAAAGATAATTTAAAAGTAACCTTACACGCTTCTCATAAATAAATAAATAGGTACAAATTATATTTAAGAGATGGACTCAATGAATCTTTCCTTGGTTGCCAAACTTTTCTATCTTACTTTTTTTAGTTTCAAAAACTTCATAATATAACTTAAGGCATGATCGCGATTCACCTCATTTAATCATTACATAAAATGTAAGATTTTATCTTGCAATTTTGATCTTGACGATTTCATGACAATTTTGTTGTTTTCAAGTCTTTATAATTCATCATAAATTAAATCCCGCAACAAACTTTCAAAAATTAAACAGATTGTTAGATAACTTAGTTTCACTTGTTTGTTGTCGTTAAAATTAGACAAGGTGTGGATCAATAACGACCATACCAAACCAAATTGCCAAATCAGTACTATTTATTTAAATTGACATGTTAAAATTGCATATAGTTATTGAAATCATTGTTGCTGTAGTAGCAGTTGGACTTGGACCTATTCAATAAGAGACTGGCAGTGAAAGATACGAAGGTTCAATCAAACGAACTAAGACACAACATGATGGAAATCTCTGTAGTCACTCTGCCCTGAGTAGACATAAATTTTATTCCTTATTGGGGAGAATGAAGTTGTTTCCTTTAATAAAAATTTAAAACTCTGTAGCTAGATTTAGTTCCAACAGCAGATATCACAAATTAAAAGGCTTCAGTTAGTTAGAAAAGTTGAAATGAGGTGGTTATAAATGAGATCATCTAGTTCTAGATATGATCACATGAACAATCATACATTTCTTGTTCCAAGAGCCTATATCCATAGGACCATTTCAAGTTCATGCGCCAATTTGAAGAAGGAATCAGCATCTGCAGCTCTGAAATTACGATGGGAAAATGTCTTAGGAGTTGGCAACATCTAAGGCCGACATGTTAGCAAGTACAAACAAGTTTTGGCAGATCCATTTTTTTCTCAACAGTGTTTGACACAAAAGCAGAGTTTCCAGAAGGGGTCCTGTGCTAAAATGCGCGTGCATAGAGACGTCATCACCTTGTGCTTTCTCAAATTTTCAGCCACGGGCATGAACACTAACTATCTCAATCCCCCCTTCTCATAATTTTCTGAAGAAAGAAGAAAAAAAAGGCTGTGAAAAAAACAGCCTTAGCTTTTTGGTTTTTGGTTTTGTTAGTATTTTGTTCTGTCCTTCTTTCACAACTGACAAAAGATTAAAACTTTATTCCTTTTGCCTCATTTTCTCAATGACCATTGTTCCTTTTCAATTTCAACTGCACTTCAACTGTTTGGAATACGTGTTAAAACGGGACGAAATATAAGATAGTATAAAGATTATGTTTAAATGTGCTTTCATGTTTTGTTTCAGTGAAAGATTTTTGGTTCTCAAATTTGCTTTTGAAGTTTATTTTGGTTACCGTTTTGGACCACTGAGGAATGAGAGAGCGACACCTACTACCTAATGGCTCATTTGTTGTGCGAACAAAGTATTAGTAGGCTCCCTTTTTCTTTTCTGTTTTTTCTTTCCAACCCCATCTTTTTTTTTTTAACTCACAAGTGCTTTCTTTTTGCTTTATTCACCACAGATACCCTCTCGATGCAAAAAGCCCCACACACATTCGTTTTCAGGTCAGTTGCGCAACGTGCTGCTTATAGAGTTTATCCAAAGCGAAAAATAATAGCACCGTCAAGAAAAAGAGATATTTATATGTGATTATACGGGTTACATAGCAAAAAAATATGTAGTAATGTTCCAATAATTCATGTATTGTCTGTTTGAACCAAAGCTTAGAGGTGATTCCGTGAATGAAGGCAAAACACCGAGACCCGAACCTTCCTTGACAGATATCTCCTGACAATACCAAATGTGAGCGCGGAAAAGGCTGAAAGAGCACAGGCATGAAATCCACGTCCATTCTTTATTGGCTACCAGCTAGAAGATAAAGCATATTTTCACTTACATAATAAGGTCATCTCTTTCGGCTGTTTTTTCTTTTTATTTTTTTAATTCCTATATAGAGGCTATAGGAACAAATTTGAAGATCGCTTGCACATGCAGGTAACCACTGGAATCAACCTTAATCGAAGTATAAAACAAACAAAGGGGAAGGAGGGGGAGACAAAAAGCAAAAGGGGAAATATTAAGCATTCCAATGTCGAGCAACTCCCCGAATTTATTACGATTATATTAACTTAAATGCAGTCCTCTATTGTCTAACTCTCTCTCTCAGCAAATATATGATTATTCTAAAAAGAGTACCAGAATGCATATTCAGTTAGGTTAGCTTCTCAAATTCTATTGCTTTGACGAAGGGTATACATTGAAATAGGACTAACCAGAAACCAATCATCTATTTGATTGCAAACCCCTACCACCATAATACTGCTTTGTTGTTTCACGTGAGAACTCGGCAAATGTCATCCCATCCTTCAACCGTGATGAAAGTGGAGGAACTATTTTCTGAATTTCGTGACTTAGTTTATTAACATCCTGCTCGGACTGTTGTTCATCATCAGATTCCCCTAAACAATGACCATTGAACATCGAGTTTCCGTGATGATAATCTGAGATAGAGAATCTTTTAGTCCATGCAGGCTGCAGAAATACAACAAAAGTTTCTCTGCTCAAATTTTCAAACTCGGAAGGTCTGTGAACAGAATGCAGGGTTGAGCAAAGCTTCCCTTTTGAGATTATATCAGCAGATTCCCCAACCTGAATGATAAAACTTTCAGGAGGGGCCTTCACCATAAGGACCCTTTTCTTAATGGGATCATATATCTGCAAAAATGTATGTCCAGTTGGTGATGCACATTCATCATAACATGATGCAGGAAATGAATCTTCTGCTTTTCTTGTCTCCGAACAAGATGGCAAAAGAAAGTAGGGAGCAGTTAGAACAGTGAATATACCATAATCATAATGCCATTGCTGCCACAAATTTGAATGAATTCCACAAGAACTATCATCATGTGCAAATTGTAATGGTTTCTGCACATTGATATTATTTTTGCCACTTGCCCTGCTCCTCTCAAGTTGTCTAAGTAGAAGAGCATCTGAAGGTGAATGATAATGTATAAGACGCCCCTTTGCAGCACATGATTCCAATAGACTAAGTTCTAACTCATTGCCACCAATAGCCTTATCACATATTCTAGCAAGGCAAAGCCCTAGCTCCATCATGCAAAACCCTAACTCTTGGAAAGTACTTCCAAGATTCTTGAACTCTATCATCGTTCGTTCAACACTCTCTTCAGAACTCGTTTTGGTCAATTCGGAAGTTTTGGCATATTTCAGTTGCGTAGCAAATGAGGACACTTTTCTATCTGGATTTCTCAAAGGAACGTCACTACCCAAGTTGTGCTCCTAGAGAAAAAAGATTGCAATGCAATGCAAGCACAATCAGAATCCCTAACCCTACGAAATTGAATTAACTTTGAACCTAAACACTAGCTTGATGTTTGTTTTGTGTACCAGTGATAAATGATATACCTTGAGAATGCGATTACGGGTTTCGCGGTCGAGAAGAGCGAGCTTCCGAGCAAGTGGGAGAAGGTGTGATCGGAGCTTCGATGCGTTGGGGACTCCGGTGATGACGAGAAGGCCTGGACCCTTGGGTCCTAGGGTTTCCATTATGGAATCCACTTCCATTGAAGTTGAAGCTGAACATAAGTCCGAATAGTGAAGCTCGTATAGATCTATGATCTCTGTTTTTTCTTCTTCCATCTCAATATCTCACGCTACGCTATCTCGCACGGCAGTTGCAGTTGCAGAGGGAAGTCGACGGAGAGAAGGAACCCTTCCGTAACGACGACGACGACGAAGACTATGGGCCTGGACTCCAATATAAATCTTCCTTCTGGAATTGGGCCGTTAGCATTCTTAGTACTCTAATTTAGCCACTGTGGCCCATTGTTCATTTTTCCATTTAATATCTAAAAATTGTCTGGTCTTATCTGTCTATCTCAGTGTTTTAAAACTCGGACCGGTCATCGAACCGGTCGAGGTACTGAGTCACTGGTTCAACCGGGTTGAACCGGTTTTATTGTTCACATATTAAAAATATAAAAATATTACTTATATTAATAAAAATTCATATAAGAAAACTATCAATGAGCTTCAAGAAATAAATTGGTTTTCAATGATAGCAAATATTATATACTTCTAAGCTTCTAGCTCTAGACCGTATCCTAATATTGGATTAAACCATGCAATATAAGTTAAATGCACTTTTTGTGCTTGACATGATACAGATAAATTAAATTATGATAACAAATAGTATGCATGAAATATACACTATAAGAAAAAGTGTCCACCGTTGAGATGAGATCACGAGACCATCAGTGTTTATCACCACTTAAGTTCATGAGATCATTATAAGATGCAACTAAATTACATAAACGAACTACAATAATCTAAAATATCTTATTATTTTCACCTTACTTTTAATCATATTCATCATAAAATATGAATATGATTTAATTCAAGAGTTCTTATCAACGACAAAAAATTTTACCAAAAAAAAAAAAAAAACCGGTTTAACCCGAGTCAACCGGGTCGCCGGGTCAACGGATTTCGGCCGGGTCAACCGGTCCAATCCGGGCTGACTGCATAATCGATCCAACTACCCGCTCGGACCGGGGAATCCACCGGGTCACCGAGTCCCGGGTCGACCCCGCCGGTCCGAGCCGGGTTTTAAAACACTGGTCTATCTATTTATAATCCATAATTTATATATTATATAAAAATTCTTCCATTACAATTTTCAGTATGCTTGGAATATATTCATTTTTTTAAATTATATTAATTCATGCATTAGTTAACTGCATGGTTGAAAATTAATGAACTTCAATTGTTTTTTTTTAAATAAAGTAAATGATATAATTTATTAAGTATATATTTAATTTTTTTAAACTTATTATATTAGTTATATATAGTCTGGGTCCTCCTAAAATCTATGCCCCATTCATTAATACATGACAAAAGCAAATAAAATATTACCAATCATTAAACATTCAATCCACAAATTTCTTGAACTTTTCACCACGTCACCAACCACGGTATGGTCCAGGTCCAGCACGTTGGGTTGTCTCTCCACACACACACACACACACATAATCACCTGTATAAAATAACTTCACACACATACAAACTACAAAGGCCCTAAAATTATGAACATAAAAAAATAAAAACTTGCTCCCTACAGGCCTACACACTTTTTCACTGTTGGAATTTATATATATAAATTATGTAAACAATCTATTGGTTATGAATAAGAAGTTTGACAGTGAAAATGTGTGCCTTTTCGTCGACAAACAGATATATCTTTTCATCCTAAAGGATGTGTTGTTTCATCCTAACAGACGTGTTGTTTCATCCTAACGGACGTGTTGTTTCATCCTAACGGACGTGTTCAAGGGTGTCTTTTCGTGTTGAACGAATATGTCTTTTCTTGTCCAACGGATGTGTTGTTTCGTCGTCGAATAGGTACATTTTGAAAAGTGACCTTACGTTTTCTATATATAAACCCTGACCCTTCAGAAAAAATGATTCAGTTTTCTGCACTGTTACTCTGCCGGATTTTTTCCTTCATCCGATTTTGCATACTTCATTCTATTTTTTCGGTGTAATTCCTCTGGCATATTGTTGTATTCGTTTGGGCTGTTGACTAGTAGTGCCGCCACTCTTCAGACGAAATCCGTTCTATCTTAGGAGACAAGTGTCCATCAACTTTTGGCATCAATGAATGGGCAAATTGTCTTAAGGAGACATGTTCTGTGGGCTCGGATTTATTCCTCTGATTCTGCATACTTTATTCCTCTGATATAATCATCTGTCTGTTTTATCATTCTGTCTCAATCATCTGATAAGTAAGTATGTTCTTTAATTTTTATAATTGCACAGTGATAATTCTGATCATCTACCTCATCTGCTTTATACATGGGTTCAAATCTCTTAGTGATATAATATCACCCACTGTCTTCATTAAAAATCTTAAGACACATTTGGTGTTTTGAACCTGTGATCAATATATTCTATTTTCTGTTTTATATACTGCTTTTTATTTATTGTGTAATTAAAAGTTTAATTTGTGAGATTAATCATAATTTCTGTTTGTGTAACAGAAATGAAGTTTCTAGTGTCTGATTTGTGAAAATTTAAATGGTGCAGTTTCTATTTTTGATATTTTCAATTTACAAAATTTGAAAACAATTCTTCGTATATATTTAAATATTTACGAAATATTTTCTGCCATTCTTGATTTGTTTGATCACGAGTCTCGAAACGTGATAGTATTACAATTGTTTTTAGTTTTAAATCATGAAATTTTCAAACCTCGATTACTGTGCATGGAAGTGTTATATAGTATATCATCTACTTTATTGTATATCAGGAGAGCCAGAAATAAAATTCTTGAACTCAAAAATGAATAGGGTCATTTTGTGAGAGAAGAAGACAACCTGAACCTACTTATTCATGCTTTCTTCAACAATTTATTTACTGAAGAATATCACTATAGACCCTGGGAAATAACCAACACTAGCTGGCCTGCCTTAGAAGAAACTGAGTTGATTGCCTTGAAGGATTCTATCTCGGAGTCAAACATCAAGGAAGCTTTCTTCTCCATGAATGCTCTCAAAGCTCCTGGGCCAGATGGTTTCCCAGCTTTTTTCTTCCAAAAAAATTGGGAAATTATGAGGAACCAAGTTGTGGACTGTGTTCATCAAATCTGGGATAAGCCTAAAGAAGTGAAGGAACTAAACAAAACCTTCCTAGTCCTCATACCTAAGCTGGCCAAACCAGACAAGATTAATCAATTTCGCCCAATTGCTCTGTGTTCTGTTCTATATATAGGCATCAGTAAGATCATAGTGAGCAAGCTGAAACCCCTCCTCGACAAACTGATCTCACCACAACAAGTCAGTTTTGTCCCTCAAAGACAAATCCAAGATAACATAATCATAGCTCAAGGATGGTCCACTCCATGAATAGAATGAAGGGGAAAATGGGCTTCTTCACAATCAAAATTGATTTAGAGAAAGTTTATGATAGGGTGTCCTGGAAGTTTATACACAAAGTGCTGACTGAGATAAACATCCCAGAGTCTCTGGTGAATATCATTATGCAGTGCATCACATCAACAGAGCTAGAAATCCTCTGGAATGGATCCAAGGCTGGCAGCCTCCTTCCTAGCAGAGGCTTGAGGCAAGGAGATCCAATATGTAACACCCCGTATATATCCGGTAATGTTATCATAATATCGTATTAAGCTGCGCTTAAATAAAATGCGGAATTACTTTTTCTTTTCAATTATGACGCCATTAACATTACCAACTTGCTTAATAATCAATTAATAAAACATCGCCTGTATGTAATTGCAATAAAACAGCTAACTGAAATACCTCATAACATAGATAATATAAGTGTGGCTCTAGTCACGGAACTACAACAACGTAGACTGGACCATCTTACAGTTTATACAACTCCAAACTACAAGTACTAACAGAAAGTGTCATGGACAATCCCCATGCTCACTCAAATAAGGCAACATGCCCAACATCAGTCTCAACAACAACATAATGCTAAAAGGCATAAAACATAATCAGCATCAATATCCAGTCATGCTAACAAATAAGCAGAAACAACATAATCAGCTAAGCTCCGGCCTCCTGCCGCCTGAGGCATCAGTACCCATACTACCTGATCCTCAAATAAGCATTCCCCAAACGTGGGGTAAGATCTCTAATCTAGAAATCTCAGTAAGTCAGTGAGTTCTCAAAGATCTTCCACCCCAAGCTCACTTACATGTGCAATATAAGTTCAAAAGCAGTTTATCATTTATCATTTCTAAAACAATGCAATGCAGCAGATAATCATGTCATGTGTGTCAATACTAATCTACTGGCCAGAGATAGTGCAGGTATACGTCTATCACCTACACACCGTGCAAGTACCACTTGCATTCACCCCGGTACACCGTCTTGTATGGCGCTACATACTCAGGCTTCCCGTCAAGATGAAACAACACATGCATATTAAAAGCCATTACATGTAAGGTTCAATCAACATATCAAATATTCCAAAAGCATGTACACAGCATGCATAAACCATACCCCCATGGGACATGGTGGAACCACAACATGGCTAAACCGAGGACACGAAAGCTTACCTTGCAAGCTAACTCCAAAAGCCAAGAGTCCACAGCTCAAAGTCCAAACACAGCAGATTCACAATCTGTTATGGACCAACAATACATGAACAACATGCACCACAAGCATACAATATTAAGACAACGCCTTTTCATTACGTTTTCAAGTCTTAAAGCTTCTAACAAAGCCACAAGCCCTTAATCCCATAATTCCGGCTTAAACCATTAAATACAGAAGTTCAACTTCATCAAACTAGGGTCCATAAACCCCTAATAGCCTACTGTACACACAGCACAGCTGCTGTTCTGCGAAATCCCAGAATATCCGGATATTCCTCGGGACCATATCCGGATATGCAATATCCGGATATCTCACTGGACATATCCGGATATGCAATATCCGGATATCCAGAATCCCAGATCCGGATACCTAGTATCCGGATACTCAAAACCCATATCCGGATATCACATATCCGGATATTCATCGGGCACATATCCGGATATTTCACGACAGAATGCAGAAAATGCATTTCGTGAAGATATCCTTCCAAGGTTGGGTTTTTAACGATTTAAAGCACCTAAACATGCATTTCTAGATGTGTTCAACATTACCCCACAACAAGTTATCATCTTTAAGCCTTAACATGCA